ACCACCGGCACACCTGTGGAGCCACGGCACCCTGCGGTGGGGGTCCCCGAGCGGCGCCGGGGGATGCAGGAGCCCCCGGCAGCCGCTTCCCGAGCTCTCGGCTTAGCTCTGCTCCGGGTTATGTCCCGAGCTTTCTCGTGGCGGCCTGGAAGTACATTTCCGTAATGTAAAAGCTTTTTGCAACATTTGCAATCATGTTTTTTTCACTAATTCGTCTTAAAAAAAAAATAAAAGAGAGAAAAAAACCCACGGAACTGACAGTTTGAAACAAATTCTTATCCATTTGAACTTACTTACAAATACATTAAAAAAAAATGTTGAAAATCAAAGTGCTATGTTTTCATGAATACAGGTTCACAAAGTCTTCTTGTCGGTAAGACTTGAGACTCTGCAAGGATGCACGTGGGGTATTTCAGAAGGTAACAAGGGTCACAACTTTCCCAATAATCTCCCTTCTTCTGGTTCCATGATGGCCAACTCCTTGTACTGCAGCAGCTCTCAACCTCTTCCTCCGTGAAGCTGTACATGTGGAAATACAGTAAATACTTAGTTTTGGGTGCAGCTAAATTTGTTTTTCATCCAAAACATTTATTTAAATGTGTTACTTTCTTGGGGTGCCCTGTCTGGATGTGTTTTGGCTTTTATGTAATCAACTATCACAAGCATAGACAGTAGTGCACTGACTTTTTAGACACAAACAAACTCATTTCTTGTTCACTGCAGTTTTGAAAACATGAGAACAGAGGTTAGAAAATGCACTGAACCTTAAAAGAAAGGATAAATTCAAGCAGTTTTAAGGTCTGGTGATTTTTTCCTCCACAGCATGACTTTGCACAAATCACACTGAACTGTGGGCTGAAACTGTGTTAGTAGTTAGTCTACTTGACTGCCCTTCAAGTGTTTTGCAGGTGCCAAAGTTGTTCAGGGCTGGTTCTTCAAGTATGAAGGTCAGTGAAAAGGAAGATTAATTTGTATTATAACCTGACCAGCTTATTTTAGTCATTTTAATCTATCAAAAATTGAGCACTGTACTGGCAAGTAAGTAGGAATTAATTTCTGGATATCACTATTTATAGTGATAATATAGTGTCTGCTACTCATGTTAAATCTGTCAAAGCAAGCCCAAAGCAGAGATTTTTAGAGCTGAGGTACTTAAAATGGTGAACCTTTACCATGTTAGGTGAGTCTGAGCAGCAAGATAAAGCATACCATGGAATGTACTTTGAGAATTATATGACAACAATAAAGTGGATTTTTTTAACTGTTAAACACAACTAGATTTCTAGAAAGGTATGATGGCCACAGAGACTAAGGAATTTTATGAAAACACATTTCAAAACCTCCAGTGGGGGGATTGCATACTGAAGGACTGTAGAGGTGAAGGACAGCTTTTTCTGGTTTACTACTCAAATAACAGGAAATGTTATTTCAGTCATAAGATCTCATTTTATCTGCCTGAAATTACATCCATATGCACAGCCTCTAATATGGGCAAAAGGTCTCTAACTACCTCAGGAGAAAAGATTTGAAACTTGCCTCAGCTACTATGCAGAGAAGAAGAAATACAGACACCTGAGTTTCCTCTACTTTGCAGGTTTCTTCAGCCTTTTTGCAGCCGCTTCCATGTGTGTTTCTGAAGAAATGAACTGCTCGTACCACTATGGCTCATTAGCATTCTTCAGGAGAGCATGTTTTAATTAATGCCTGCACAAGAAATGTTTGCCGTTTGACAATTTTAATTTCCCACAGACAGGAAGTGATACCACACATTTACAAACTTGAAGTCAAACTAATCTAACAGTAAAATGAATCCTTGTTTTTTCTAGTCTTTGACTGAGAACTGTGTTCTAATTTTACACATAAGGTAAAAAAGCACATTAACAAAATTAACTAGCTATGCATATACGTTTGGGGAAGGTTGTAATTCAGAATTCTGCTTGCCAATATTCTGTCATGATAGAGAAAAAATGATAAAGATTTTTCTCAAGCAAGAACTGTGCTGAAGAGAGACTGAAATTGAGCCTCACCGTAATTAAATAGATTGTCCAGTAGGAAAGAAAAATTCTTCATATGACTCCCTCCAAAATATATTTATTGAACTTATTTTGGGTTTAACATTCAAGTGTTATTTGCGCAGTAAGATAATAAAGACAACACGTGAAATTTTATTGTTTCACAAAGAGAAGAGAAGAGACAGAACAACGGAAACTGGGAAGAATCTGGTAACAGCAAGAGCAGCACCAGCAACCTGGAAAATGAGCAACCTGATTAATTTTTTTATTCCTTGTAAGGATTACCAGTTATTAACTGGCTAACTCAAGGAAAACCATAACGAAATCAACAAGTACAAAGGCATATGTAATGTTCTAAAAGAGGAAAGCTCAGATCCTTACTGTTACAAATTAATATATAGTTCCGTATATCATTTAGGGAATTGGATATCACAGTGACTGGCGTGTTTAGGAAATGGACAAATCAAGCCAGTTTCAAGCTTCAGAAGTACGTTCATAAGCAGTTCATGTTGCTAATAGTTCTTAATCACTATCAATCATTATCGCTACGTATACAAAACAAATAGTCCTCAGCAAATCTGTCCTAGATGAGCTGTGAGCACACAACACAGTGGAGCTGACGCTCGGTAGTTAGTGCTGATGGTCACGCCCCTTGCTGGTCCTTAGTCACCAGGGCCAAGGTGATCAGGCTTGAGAGCTCCTTGCAGGCAGTTTGCCATCTTTCTTCCTTACTCAGCTGATGTTTAATACTCTCTGTCCCCGATCCAAAGGAAAAGGAAGTGATCTCATCTGCTCTTGATGACTTATTTTGGGGATCAGGACATGTTCTGGGTTTTGCTTATTCTGCAGGTGCCACCGGACACCTTTCTTGCCTGCTCTGCAGGATTATCTTGGTTTTACCAGGCATCTTTCCCCTTCTGCTTTGTTGTTTGGTTATTTGGTGACAGGTAAGCTTGATTTTGCCTATTTAGTGAGGCTTTAACAAAATAGCCGGAAAATTGAACTAGGAAGCCATAAGCTGTACAGGACCACTTCAGTGGCTGTGAAAAATCACAGAGTGAGCCTTCCTGAAACGTGTTTCTTGCCACATGAAGGAGGTGGTGATTGGGAACACTCTGCACAAGCATACAGGTCCTACAAGCCTGTAGTCACCAATTTAAGTAAAATGGCTGAAGCTGCCTCCTATGGCACAGACACATGATCTGCTTTTGAGCCACCTCAACTATCAGCCAACACTTAAATGCGACCCGAAATAAAACCAGGGTGTTTAAATGAAAACAGCAGAGATCCGAGGGATAATTGTAGGTGGATAATGCCCGCCTCAGAGGTGGGGTGGATAATTGGTAAAGCATCTGCCACCTCACTTTAATCCACACCTGCAGATCTATCAGAGCCTTCAACGTACGAATTTGGGGTACCTCTGTCCTGTGAAATCCACAGTCCTCAAACAGATGCCCAGGACTTCTCCTACAGTGCCGAGAATGAAATTCACAGGCTCCACAAGCTAGCTCGGGGGTCACCTCCTCGAGGCTAGAGGGTTACGAAGTGGCACCCCAGTGCGGTGCCTCTTTCGGCATTAGGTACTTCATGCAGGTCAGCCCCCTCTTCAGGGGAGCACAGTGGGAGCTCAGACCTGCCCCATTGCAAGTTCGTTCCCCGGCCTGGGAGACTGGAGCCGAGTTTTCCTTTTTCCTACTCTGCCTGATTTAGCACAGAACTTACAATGAATATAAGGATGAGGGTTATCTGATTTCTTCTTTCGCGCCTGTTCTACTTTGTAAAAACAAGCGAGTATTTACTGGAGTAACGCGTAAAGCCGGCGTTGCTGCAGTCAGTGCGAGCACGCTAACCGCTGTTTTGTCTCCCCGGAGCAACGGGCGTTTAACGACCTGTGAAGCGGGACTCATTCAGAC